TCTTTTCACAGCAGTCCCTCTAGCATTTCTTTCATTGGTGGTTTGGTTGTAATAAACTCCCTTAGCCCTTTTTTCAGTGAAGCTCCTGATTTCACCTTCAATTTTGAATGATAGTCTTGCTGGGTATAGTATTCTTGGATTCAGTCCCTTGCTTTGCATTACTTTGTATATTTCATTCCATTCCCTTCTGTCCTGATGTGTTTTTGTTGAGAAATCCATTGATAGTCTGATGGGAGATCCCTTATAGGTAACGTTCTGTCTCTCTTTAACAGCCTTAACATTTTTACTTTGTCATTGGTGTTTGCTAATCTATAATAATAAAAGCATAATATGCTAATTAGACTGGACATCCTTCCACATGTACTTTTGGATGACTTGCTGGACTAAGCTGGGGCTATGAGGGAAGCCTGGGTTACGGGTACCTATTGGCGGCTGGAAGGAAGCCTGGGTCCCTGGTTTCTGCCATCAGCTGGAGGGAATCCGGTACTGACAGTCAGGGGAAGGAACCCTATTCTTTCATGAATTTTGTGCGTCGGGCCTCTAGTTTAATTATAATGTGTCGTGGTGTCAGCCTTTTTGGGTTCATCTTGTTTGGGACTCTGTGAGCTTCTTGGACCTGTGTGAGTTTTTTCTTCCCAATATCAGGGAAGTTTTCTGTAATTATTTCTTCAAACAGGTTTTCTATTCCTTGCTGTTTCCTCTTCTTCTGGCACCCTTATTATGCGGATGTTGTTTCGTTTAGTGTTGTCCCAAGGCTCCCTTAGTCTCTACTCCTGTGTTTTAAGTTTGTTTTTTTTTTCCAGTTGCTGCTCTGCTTGGGGATTGTTTCCTACCTTGTATTCTAGCTCACTGATGTGGTCCTAAACTATTCCTAGTCTACTGTTGATGCTTTCTATTGTGTTCTTTTTGAAGCTATGTCATTCTTCCTTTCTTCATGGTTCTTCTTTCCCTCTTGGTTCTTACACATGTTGTTGAATTTGTCTTCCATCCTTTTCAGTGTCAATATGACCATTCCTCTGAATTCTTTCTCTGACAAATTGTTTCCCTCCATTTGTTTACTTCCTTTTCTGGTGATTCCTCCTTTTCATTTGTATTGCGGCTGTTTCTTTGTCTCTACATTTTTGCTCTTTTGAGGGTGTCTGGTTATGTGGCTCACGCTCTACCACATTCACAGCTGTGTTTAATCCACCAATTCAGTGTGGATGTTATTCAATTCAGCTGTTTCTCCTATCTGCTCCTTGAGAAGGTACAGGACCTGTCTGCCTATTCAGCTGCCATTTTCTCTCCCCCTGGACAAATTTCTTATGAGCCCATAGCTGGGGAGGCAGGAGTCTCGGTGTTCAGAGCCAAGGCAGCTGGTCCTGGGCTGTTGTGGCTGTAGGATCCAGGGTGGTGTCCATGGTCTCCCTTGGTGAAGGTGAGGTTGGGCTCCCAATCACAGCTGCTCTCCCCTTCAAGATTATGTGGTCTCTCTGTCAGAGCCTGCCACCCTGGGAGAAATTTCAGCAGTTGTAGAGGCTTCCCGGTTAGGGGAGCATGGTCTGCCAGTCCACAACAATCCTGTGGAATATAAATGTCCCTCAGTCACACACCCCACATGTTCATACACTCCCCATTTGCTCTCTCACTCACACTATTTCCCTCAAAATCATCCTGTTGGCTACCATCTTGTATCTCCCCAGAATATACATTATTCTCAAGTGCACATGGGACATTTTCAAAGATAGACCATATATTGGGAGAAAGGCAAAGTCTCTTCATATTCAAGAAGATAGAAGTCATATCAACCATCTTGTCATATCACAATAGCATAAAATTAGAAAGCAACTACAATGAAAACAGTCAAGCACTTGGAGGCTAAATAGCATGCTATTAAACAATGATTGGGTTATCAAAGAGATCAAAGAAGAAATAAAAGCATCCTGGTAACAAAAGACAAAGAAAACACAACAATCCAAAATCTATGGGACACAGTGCAAGCAATCCTGAGAGGGAAGTTCATAGTTCTACAGGCCTACCTCAAAAAAAAAGGTAATATATATCTAACACTACAACTTACAGAATTAGAAACAGAGCCACAAGAAAAGCCCAGAGTAAGCAGATGGAAGGAAATAATAAAGATCAGAGTGGAAATACATGACATAGAGACCAATAACTACATATATATATATATATATATATATATATATATATGATG